GGCTGGGCTCCTCTGCCGCCCCAGCCGCGGGAGTCCTAGGGCCCCTTCCCTGCTCCCTGAAGACCCTGTCTCTGGCACACTCACGGCTCCCTTCGCCCCACCCCCAGCTGCTTCCCTGCCTTCTTGACCCCCAGACCCGACCTCTGGGGTCCCAACCCCTTCCCACCACCCTTGCCCTGGGGTCCAGGGTCTTGGGATTCCTAGTCCCCACATCCCATGGCCCTGGCCCCAGGCCTTACCTTCAGGAGCCCAAGCTCCTTTTTCTGGCCCAGGGAGCAGCTGAGGACACCGGTCCCCCCACCTTGGGCCTCTGTCCCTGTCCCCAGAGCACTGCAGGCCAACTCTGCAGGTCGGAGCGGGATGGGGTCCCGGTGTGAGGGGGATGGAAGTCCGCATAAGAGGGTGCTGGGGCACGGACCCCGAGCCTGGAGTTTGGCCTGCCCCCTGGGGCCTGGCCTCCTCCTCGCCCAGCCTCTCCTGACGCCCTGTCGCTGTCCCTCCTGGCTGCCGCCACCTTGCTCATGTCCTCCTACCAGGCTCTCCTTGGCTCAGTGCTCTCTCTCTGCTTCCGTCCTGTCTCTGATACCCCACTTGATATCCTACTGTCCTGTCCTTCTGTCTGCCACCCCTGTCTGTGTCTTTTTCTCACACCATGTCTGGCTTTGTCTCCCCAGGCCCCAGGCTCAGCCCCTTGGGGGTCCACTCGTCTGTGGGGTGAGGGGTGCAGCTCAGGCTCAGGTCTTCTTCTCCGTCCAGCACTTGCCCCTTGGGGGATATAGAGGCTGTGTGACTCCACTGTCCCTCTCCTAGAAGGTTCCTCCTTCCCTGACCCCCACCATCTCCATCACTGCCTTCTCAGCTGATCCCTTTCTTCCTCTCCCCCCATCCAGAAGGCTCTCCCTATACGCTTGACTCCACTGAAGGGGCCCTGCTCTGAGTGACCCCATCTTCCCTTGCTGCCTGCCCATCTGCCTCTTGGGGATGGCAGGGTTGGAGGAGAGGCCCTTCCCCAGGCTTCATCCTGCCTGGGTCTCCACAATACTGGGGCTTCCTTTCCTGATCCTCACTCCCATCCCACGGCTCACTCAGCTTGGCTCTTCTCAACCTCTGGGTCTTTCTCCTTCCCTCAAGGTCACTCACTTGACAGTGCTGTTCTGCAGAAAGAGCACTAGACTGGGAGGCTTTTCATCAGACTAACCTTCAGCTCCTCCAACCCCAGCCATCTATGTCCCCCCTTACCTGTCCCCCCAACCTCTCACCACCCTCCTCCATTAGACGTGGCCCATCAATTTTAGCTTAAGCCTTAGTGGGGCCACTTGTGGCCAGCAGGGCCTCCTGCCCGGGGTACCAGCAGCCTGGGGCCTCTCAGGCCCAGCTCGTCAGCCACTAAGGCACTGAGCCCCAGGTGCCAATCCCGCTGGAGGCCTGGGTTTCTTCTTTCCCTCACCACAGAGCCTTCCTCAGGTTTCCCTTTCACACTTATAAGACAGTGAGCCTGGGCCTCACAGCAGGGGGTGCTCAGGCTCCCGTGCCTCCCCACCCCAGACAGCCCCTCGGCCCCAGTGAATGTCACTGTCAGGCATCTCAAGGCCAACTCTGCAGTGGTCAGCTGGGACGTCTTAGAGGATGAGGTGGTCATCGGATTTGCCATCTCTCAGCAGGTAACCGTCGAGGCTCCCTGGGAGGAAAGAACACATCAGGATAGAAGTGGAGGGTGGGGGAGGAAGGGATGCAGAAAGAGCAAGGAAAAAGGAATGAGGAGCAACAGAGACTGGTGGAAAGCTGCACCCATAGCTGGGAAGGGAGGCCCCAGAAAGGGATCAGTGAGGGAGGGCTCAGGAGCCTCTGATTGGAACCTGGGCATGAAGAGCATGATTTTGATCTTAAACAGACCTGAGTTTGGGAGCTGGCTCCAGTTCTCGCTAGATGTATGGCCTTGAGCAACTTCCCTGACCTCTCTGAACCTGTCTCCGTATCTGTAAAATGGAGATGATGGAATGCTTATTCAGGTTGTGGATGTCAGGGATTTAGCCTGGTAGCCAGGTGGGGCCTCATGACACTGGAGAGGTGGGCAGAAGTGGGGCTGGGGCCTGTACCCTGAAAACAGGGGGCCTGGCTTTTGCTTCTGCAGAAGAAGGATGTGCGGATGCTGCGCTTCATCCAGGAGGTGAACACCACCACCCGCTCGTGCGCACTCTGGGACCTGGAGGAGGACACCGAGTACATCGTGCACGTGCAAGCCATCTCCATTCAGGGCCAGAGTCCGGCTAGCGAGCCGGTGCTCTTCAAGACGCCGCGCGAGGCTGAGAAGATGGCCTCCAAGAACAAAGGCAGGCCTGGGCGGCTGTCAGGAAGGGCAGGGGTGCGGTGAGGGGTGGTCGGGGTCAGAGCAGGGGGCAGCTTGAGGAAAGCTTGTGCACACCCATCCCTCCCCCAGCCCCTGCTGCCTAGTACGGTGGCCCCTGAGAAGAGGGGAGGTTCACTCTGGTCCCAAGACAATGGGATACAAACTCTCAGTTTTATATTAAGTCCAGTCACTGCCACCAGAGTAGCCGTCAGCATGTTCTTGAATCTCTTTTTGTTAGATGTGTGGGCTCCTGTAGAAATAAGCCCTTAATATCTTAGGCTTGGCCCTAGAAGGGCAGCTGGGGGAAGAAGGGAGCCCCAGACTCAGTGTCTCTCCCCTCACAGATGAGGTGACCATGAAGGAGATGGGAAGAAACCAGCAGCTGCGGACGGGCGAGGTGCTGATCATTGTCGTGGTCCTGTTCATGTGGGCCGGTAAGTCTGGCCCCAGGCCCTTCTTCACTTAACCTCAGGGAAATGGAGGACCCTGACCAGACCCTTCTCTCAGAGAAACAGAAGGTGAGGGGCTTGTAGGCAGGGAGAGAAAAGGACTAAGGAGCCCACGTCCTGCTCTGGAGACCAGATCTGATCCCTTCTCTAACTCACCCCTCACCAAAAAAAAAACAGCATCTCGGTAGCTGTCCTGTAGGATTATGTGAGTGCTTGCCCTCCCCTTCTCTCATGAGCGGCTCAGGCTCCCGGGGGTGGACACAGCCACAGCCTTTGCCTTCCAGCGGCTGCAGCAGCCTCTCCTTCCTCCCCTGGGTTGCTGTGCCTCCAGGTGTTTCAGGCCTCGGCAGACAGCTCAGGCTTGGGACACCCTCTTAACTCACTCATCCTTCTAGGCTGGGCTCTGAGACCGCCTCTGTAAAACCTCCCCAATCCATCCATGAGAATGTGCCTCCTGCCTCGCTGCTCCCATAGCACACGGTGTGACCCTCTCTAAACGTAGCCCTTCCTAGATAAGTCTTTCTCTTTTCCCACTTGTCTGTGAGCTCCCTGAGGATAAAGGCCATCATCTTTGTACTCAACTCAACCAGAATTTTCTGAACAGCCACTCCATTCCAGAGAGTAATGCTGAAGTCGTGACTAAGAAGAGCCAGGTGCTTGTAAGGAACTCTGTCGGGGAGACGCCAGGCTCGTACTTAACTAGGACTCAGTGTGATGAGTGCTCTAATGGTACCATGTAGGGGAGCAGAGGACAGGGAATTGATTCTGGGGCTAGGAGTAGAAATCAAGAAAAACACAGAGAGGAGGTAAATGGGAATTGAGCTTTAAAGGATCAATAAGAGTTCACCAGATAGCCAAAAAAGGGGCAGGTATTCTGGGCATGGTGTGTTCAAGAAGCGAATTAAGCCCAGTCTGACTCAGTGCAGCTGCGACCCAGGAGGGAAGGTAGAAAGTGGGGTAGTTAAGGGATGGAGAGGCTGTCAGGTGGACTGCAGTCCTTTTTGAGGGAATCAAACACCACGTCAAAGCTGTATTAGCATTGTGGTTGAGGGGGCAGGTTCTGTTGTAGAAGCATATGGAAAAAAATGTTCTGTAGGCAAACAGAAAAACAGGCACTTGGGGAAAAAAAAGCAGGAAAAACAAAGGATTGTACAAAAGGGGAGGTTTGCTTAGGGTGCATTGTTAGACTCGGCACAGACAGTATTCGTATAACCATAACAATATAAACGTAGTGAGTTAACCCCAAATTGTGACGTAATTCTGTTAGGATGATGGGGAGGGAAGTAGAGGGAGTTGTGAGGCTTTGTCTACCGTGGTGGGACGTCAACAGATAATCTCTAAAACAGATACATCAGTAAATGGCCCTATAAATCAGGTATGCAGGCAATAATGGGGAAAACACCCACAAGAATCGGGGTTGGCTTCCTTAATACTACTGACTTTCAAAAAGTATTACTAGTTTGATAGCAATAAACATTTAGCAGAGTGCAGGCTATGGAGTGCACAGCCCCAGCTCCACTATGTGAGCTTGAGTGAGTTATCTAGGCTCTGCCTCAGTGTCCTCACTCGTCACCTAGGGATGGTAGGACCAGGTGCCCCCAGAGACTGAGCTTCAGTGGGATGGGCTATGGGCACACAGCACAGGGCCTGGTCCATGCAAGACAGGTGCTACTGGTTTGGTTTCCCCTGGAGGAAAAGGGGAGCCCTCTGAGGTTTAAAAGAAGGGAAGGGAGGAGACACAATCAGAAATATATTGTAGGAAGATCAATCCTGCAGCAATGAAAGGGATGGCTGGTAGGGGGACAGGTGGACATAGGAGCCAGGGGACAGAAGCAGACTTTTGTGGAAGTACAGGTGAGAGGCCACCTGGAGCCCAGTACCCACAGGAGCTCAGCAAGGTCTAGTGGGAGTGAAGTGGCTCTGGCTTTTGACTGCTCTCCCTTGTCCACTGTAGGTGTCATCGCCCTCTTCTGCCGCCAGTATGACATTATCAAGGACAATGAACCCAATAACAACAAGGAAAAAACCAAGAGTGCATCAGAAACCAGCACACCAGAGCACCAAGGCGGGGGTCTTCTCCGCAGCAAGGTGAGGGCAGGACCTGGGCCCGGGTGGGTGGCCCTGTGGCTTGCGTGCTGGTTGTCCCTGGGCTGCAGAAGGGGTCAGCTCAGGGCCTGGCATGACTGCAGCTGGGCAGAGCCAAGCTTGGCCGCTGCCTGTGTGACACAGGGGACACTGCAAATTGATTTTGGATCCTATCCTTTTGCAGGGTGCCAGGGGCCAGTAGAGGTTTACAAAAAGGCAACGAATGGGGAGGGCAGAGTTCTTGGTTGATGCGGGACAGCACGAGGAGGGGTTCTGGGCTCATTCCTGCTCCCGCTGTGCTGAGTGACCTTGGGCAGGTGCTTCACCTCTTTGTACCTTCATTTCCTCTTCTGTAAAACAGATATGAAAACCTTTCAGTGCTTGCTCTGAAGAAAGACATAGAGGATGGGAGAGGATCTCATGGTTCTGACGATGATTATCCAACAAACATCTGACCCTCCTCCCTCCATCTCCTTACACCCTCTGGCTTACTGTCCTCTCTCAGCTTCTCTCTTTCTGGCGCACTTTCCTGAAGCCTCTTTCCAACCCCACATCTCCAGAAGCACCTCAACAATGTCAGTGTCTGGGGCTGCGCTCAGAGGCAGATCTGCAGGATGTGAGAGAACCAGCCAGCGGGATGGCTCTGCTGGGGGTGGACTGGGTACCAGGGGCTGTGGGCCCAGGATCCAGTCCTGGCCATTCAGCTGAGTGAGGCCGAAGGCCGGGTTTGAGAAGGCAGAGAGACAAGACATCCAGGGAGGGCTTCTCCTTTCCTTCCTCCTGAGACGAGAGCCTGGCTTTTTAGGCTGCAGCCCTGCTGCCCCCTTCCATCTTGTGTCCTCTTTCTGTTTCCAACCTTGTGAGAAGTCTATTCAATTAGCCCTGGCCGCTTCTCTCATTTTTTTCCTCCCAGTTTCCAAACAAGCCCTCGGTGAACATCATCGAAGCATGACTGCCTGTCTGCAGGGAGAAGGATTTCATTTTTCTTCTCTGCTGGTCCCCAGGTCCATGGGCACGGGGAGAGAGAGGACTGCCGGGCAGGGGGTAGGCACAGCTAGCTGCACAGGTCTCCCTCTGCTCCCCCATCCTAGTCCGGTGAAGAAGGCTGAACTACCAACCCAAATTCTGCAAAAAATAAGCAAGCCACAAAACTAAAAGGCCTGGCCCCATTCTGGAAAAGGCAAAGCTGCATGAGACACAGCCTTCTTTCTGCCTCCTCGCCTCTCCTGGACTGGCCTCTTTGAGAAAATGCACAAAGCTCCTGGGAGATGACAAGCACCTAGACTGACAGAAGCTGTGTCTTTCAGGGAAGCCGTGGGGCTGCCTGCCGGGCAGGGTCCTGGCTGCCATCAAGCCTTTGCTGGATCCAGCCATCAAGGACTTGTTTGTGGTGCAAAGCACAACTTGACGAGTGTGTAGGGTGTTATCTGTTCTCTCTCTTTTGGAAAACACAATCGAAGGGCTTCACTCCATAGGGCAAGATTCCCAAAGCTGGTTGCCTGCATCTTCTGTCTTCTTTGGCCCTTATTTTGACTGTGAGATCATCAGTCTGGGGTCTGAAGAAGACAAAGTGGGAAAGAGACCTGGAAGAAATTGGCCCCGTTTCTTTAGGAAGAGTCTCTTGGAGTTGCAACAGTGCTGGCTTGCACAACTGAAAAGGTACGTCCACGTGGGACAGACATCCTGGGGGCTGCTGAATCACACCCTCTGGGATGGAAGCTGCTGGAAGGCAGGCCTGAGCCATTCACCACGGACAGTCAGAGCAGTCCTGGCCTCTGGGGTCTCCATGTCTTGCCATCTCATCCAGGGTTCTGTGAAAGCTACCCGGGGTCCTCATGTCCTTCCCTAGAGCCTGAGTGGTGTGAGGTGACAGGTCTCTCTCTCCACTGCCTCTTTCTGGTTTAAAAAACAAATGGTGCTTGCTAAGGGAAGGCAGACCCTTCCCTCGGACTGACAAGCTATGACTGTTGAATGCCTGCATGGGAAGAGATGGACCTCTCCATCTTCCGTTGGTGGCTGAGGACGGGAGTGTGGGAGGACTGCACCTGGCACACAGTAGGTGCCCAGTGCATACCTGTTGAACTGAATGATAAGAGCAATGGCCCCCAAGCCAGAGAGCTGAAAGCCATTACCCAATGACCGCCCCTTCCTTCCGGTCTATAAGAGCTCTCGGGGCTGGGTCAGCCACCACTCTGCTTTGCCGAGCGTGGAGCACAGGGAGGGAGGAGAGACAGGGTAGAAGGCAGATGTCAGCAGTACTAAGGGCTTCCTCATGGGAGGGCATGAGGTCCCACTCATTGTCTTGTGACTTCCATCCCTGCTGAACGGGGCTGCAAGGCCAAGGCTCCTTAGGGGAGAGGTCCTTACCTCTGATTCAGTTAGAGCAATAACCACTTTTTAAATGTAAAATAAAAAGACAAATGAAAAGGCACATCCTTGTCTTCTGGTAAATGCCCAAATGTTGCCCTCTTTTTCTGGCAGTTGGCAGCAAGTCAGGATGTGTGGAGGAGGGAGTCAGTTCTCTCTCTCCATTTTGGCCTGCAGCTTCTTAGGGACAAGCCTGCCAGCCAAGCTGGAGTTGGAAGGGAAATCTCAAACAGATGGGGGTGCACGTGTAGGAGGAGAAAATAGCTGCTCTATCATCCTATTACTGAGCACCCCCCCCCCAAAGCCAAGCTTGGGCTGCCTCACCGCATAGGTATGCAGGCTGGAGCTCAGTTTTTAAAACAACGGGTTTTCCTCTCTGGATGGGGTTGGTGCTTTCCCTGGCCTGAGGAATGCAGTCCTGCTTCTCCCCAGGGGGAGGGGGAGGGGGGCTGAGGGGGGAGAGAATAGGAACCATGGAAGCTGCTTGCTGCAGCTCAGAATTCACAGCATGCCATTCGGGGCTGTTAAAGGAACATCATTATGATCCCGCAGCAGGCTGAAAGGTAGAGTAATGGTGCTGGTAGCCAATGAGAAAATCAGTAAATGGGGCACCTTGAACATTCTGTCCAGAGCTGGGAGGAGCTTAGAGAGAAAATGTCAGGTGAGCGGGGCTTAGGGTAGGCTGTTCTGGAAGGTTCTGAGAGCTGAGGGAAGCAGGTCTTAGAAGCTGAGTGGGAAAGTGGGAAGTGGATTAGCATAAAGAACTCTAAGCCAGACCTCAGAGAGGTCCTTCCCAGGCCCTCTGTCCCTGTCTAGTGCCTGCCGATGGAGAAGCCCCAGGTCAGCATCAGGTGTAGACAGATGTCAGTGAGGTCCAGGGAGCCCCGCTGATGGGACTTTCCTGTCTTCACCTTATCTGTGCCCGTGGCACATCCTCTGAGGGTATGAGGGGAAAGGAGCGAACAACACTCCTGGCTAACTAAACTCCATTCCCTTTCATCACCTCCCTAAACCCCCAAGTTCTACAACAATTGAGCTTTTCCTGAATCAGCTGCAGGTGCACTGTACAACCCTGCAGCTGTGACCTCGGGCTGTGGTCCTTTCTTCACCCCTCACTTAGATCTGCAGATTCATCACAGCTTGGGAAGGGCCCAGGCCAAGTTCTCTGAGACTAATAAGAGAATGGACTTGCAGACCACAGCAGGCCCACGAGAGGAACGCTGGACTGAGAGGCAGGAGACCCTGCCTTGTCATCACACCTTAGGTCAGTTACTTCTCTGATGGAGCCTTGGTTTCCTGTCTGTCAAAGCCAAAGGGGTAAGACCCAGAGGACTCCCAGACCCCACCCACCAAGGCGGGTAGGAGCCAAGGGGCTTCCTCATAGGAACAAGAGGGCGACCCCAGGGTCTGAGGAGAGAAGGGGGACTGCTGTTTGCTGGGGCAGGAGTCCTTTTTTCTCTCCAGTCTTGTCCCAACCTCAGCTTTTCAGTATGGACCTCCTCTAGAATCCACTTTTAAGATTTCCAGTTCAGCCTTTTACAGAAATATGTAACATCTCACCATTCCAGTCATGTGATGTTTCAGACTTCTACTTTTATTTCTCATCTTCTTTAAACCTATTTGACAGTTTCTGTATTTTGCTTTTAAAAAAGTAACCTCTAAGAAAAAACGCTTCTGTAAATGGGACACTGCCCCAGCTCCAGCCCCACCAGGCTCTATTGGCCCAAACCCTCAAATGTGATATGAAGCTAAATGGAAGGACGTCTTCATATACAAATAATTTCTTAATGATACAGCATTTCAGGACTATTATACAGACAGCTTTAAAGGTCATCCAAAAGATTACATTCTACCTCTTCTCAACGGCTGCTGGGAGGGTCAGATTTTCTGTCTGTGTCATGTTCCAGTTGTCGTAGGGGGAGGACAGGTGGGGAGGATTGACAAGACAGGAGCTTGCTCGTTGAGGAATTCCACCACTGACCAGCTGATACTTCCTGTGACAAGTGGACATTTTTCTCCTGACAGGTGCTCTGGCCTATAAAGCAAGCATACCCTAGAACCAGCTTAGGAATGATTGCTTTCTCTTAAAAAAGCAGGACAGCACTAAGCAAAGCAGGGAATTCTGCTTTCTAGTTTTAGTGGTTGGGACTTTTTCTTCCTGTAAAAGCTCACAACAGGTTGGTCAGAGAATGAGCTTTTAGAGAAGTTAAAATTCTCCTCACTTCTCTGCAATGTCAGACAAACTGAGGGTAAGGGACACCACCATCTCAGAGAATTTCAGCCTGGTTGGTCTCTGAAACTTTTGCTGCCTACAGTAACACATTGCTAAAAAGAAAATAAGCAATTGCTGGACAAAGGAACATCTGTTCCTGACAGGACGAAATGGATACCACCTATAGGTCAAGAGAAGCTCAGATTCAGACAATACCAAATAGCTGAGTATTCAGCAACATTTATGTTAAGCTTTTTGCCTGGACTGTAGAATACATACTCAACAAAACTTACAGAACAGCAGGACAGAGAGCCTGTCCAAACATGTTACTATGTATTTACTCAGCACGAGTTCAGATTTTCAAGCACTGGCTAATGCAGGTGACAAGCTATTACTGCCTCCCATTTCATCCTTGCTCCTGGGGCAAGTATAAGAAGCTTAGGTTCACAAAAGAGATCGTAGGAAGGCTGTGTCTCCCACATCTGCCCACTCTTATCCAACCTTCACCCCAGGTTCTAGTAGCAACTTCTGGAGAAGCTGGGTTAAGAACAACTATCAGTTCTGGTTTCTCACATCCTTCTCAAAGGGAGAATGCCCCCAGGTAGCTCAGTTCTTCCTTGATCAGTGCTGGCTCTGGAGAGGCAGACGGACACTGGGGTCAGCCTCACAGCCACGGGAAAGAGTGCGAGGCAATGCCTGGGTGATGGAGCTGAGCCCTCCTCCCTCTCTGCAAAAACAGCAGTGCAGTGATATTTCAGGCTCTCCCTATGTCAGGCTCCTGACATGCACTATATGTAGCTGCAAATCCCAATCAGTTTCAACATTTCTTACCTGCTAGAACGCTTTTCTCAACACTGTAATTTACCCTCAAAAGAACAGGGAGCATGCACCCTCGCCTCCCCAGAACCACATTCTACTAACTACCGCCCCCTCCCACCACCCACTAACCTACCTACCTACCTTTAAAGGAAGGAACCCTCCTCCTTTAAAGCCCGCAACAGACGGCCACAGTACATAAGCCACTGACAAGAACTTTTATTTCTTTTTAATGACATTAAACACAACTGCTACAAGGGGAAAAACATGATAAAGAGGAGGCACCAAACTTCAGTTTCATAATTGATCCTGACAACAACTCAAGTAAATTGGGGTCTGCCTTAGATGCAAAACTATAGGTTATTTCAGGCTCTATACTTACAAGTCAACTATGTAAACAGCCAGTTTCTCATCTGCTTTAAGACCCCTGTGGTGAGAATGTTATCATGGATGAAGAAAAGCTAGGCAGGCAGTTAAATGCACACAACCAATACTAAAATAAAACAACATGGCAAGAATTCTACGTTAGACTTAGCGGCCAACACCAAATGTATGTAGCTTTAAAAACAGATTAAAACTCCAGATTCTACCCACTACCATCTTTAAGGCGAACATGCCTAATAATAAGTTTTCTTTGGCTTTTTCTTCTTAAAGAATACCATGTTAACCGCTAGGGAACAGTTCTCTCCTCCCCCAGTCCAACAGATTTAATTAAGCTGCTAAAGCTTTAGAAAAACAGAATTATTTGAGCAAAGAGGAAATGTGATTGTCACATTTTCTAGTTAACCCGTTACTCATTTGATTTGGCAAAGGCGATGCTCCCATTACACCAGACTTAAACCCTCCTGTACTAGGAAGGCAGGAACACGAGTCTTAGTCTTTTGACTAAGTAAAAGGCTGTCCCTTTACTTCTTGGTTATCTGTAGGGAACAAGATAACCGCAATGCTAGTTACCCAGCTACAATTAATTCTAACTATCCTATAGTTCCAAAGGCAGATGCTTGCTTGTCTTACTTCATCAAGCTAATTTAGGGAAGCCTGGAAAAGTGTTATGATAAATACCAATTGAAATAATAGATTCTGACTCTTGCTTTTGAACAGAACTTCTCCTTTGCATTTTGGTCCCAGACTCTAAACAAATGTTCAAGGAAGAGAGAATCCTTGACCAGATAGAAATAGTTTACATCCATCTAAATTTACTGGAAACTATGACCGAGCATTTCCCCAAGTCAGTTTCTGAAGCAGGGTAGGATATTTAAGATGGGTTACTTGCATACAAAGATGGAGCTGACTGAACAACGAAACCAGACAGAGTCAGCGAGCTCAGTACCACAGGCTGTGCTACAGCAGCTGGGTACCACCTTGACAGAGAGTGAACAATAACAGCACAAATGCCGACTGCAAAATCTCCCAAGAGATATCTAGAGCTGTCTGTAAAGAGAATAACGAACTCCTAGGACATCCAGTAAGGTGGCTGCACAGAACCTGTCAACTTGGGTCAGAATACCAATCCTTAAGATCAGGTAATACTTTGTACACGGGCTTAATCAAAACTACATTAGATCCACTTTAGTAGTCTTGTAAAATTGTACATCAGAGGTTTGACCAAGTGAGGAAATGGTAGCATCCAGGATCAAAAGGCACCTCTTGTTAACTAATAATACAGACAAAAGACTGCCTCTCCAGAGTCTCTCCCATAGGATGGAGGCTCACTGATTAACACAACAACTCATACTTGAAGCTGGGGTTCAGCAGATGAAACTGAAGACCAACTGTCACCTCTCAATAGCACTGGCTTTCTGGCCTATCACAGAGTCAAGACTCCAGGTGGGCACCTCTTCAGTAAAGAGCACAGGGATGCTGTTCTTAAGAGGCATATATCTGTGTCTAACAGGATATAGGAATATGCTGGTAGAGCCCAAAGGTCACTGAGGAAAAAAAGAAAGGCAGAGAAGGTGACTAGTAACAAGACCACAAACCAGCAGAAGCTATTTGTTAGTCACCGGTCTTCTGTCAGAGTTAAAATGTGTCAGATTTGTAAACACTATTGTGCAAAACAAATTTAATGAAGAATGAAAAAAAGCTAAAAAAAATAAAGGCAGCTAGTAGGTACACAAAAGAGATTAATACTTTTAATTTGTCCTTTCAACTACTTCAGAAGTCCTGGATTACTAACTTTAAAACACTGACAGATACTTAGAGATTCAAATAGAAAAGTAGGAGGGATTGTTTAAAGTGACTTGTATCCATTTTATAAGTCATCAGCAATAACTAACACTGGCTTGCAGCCTGATAAAGAATCCCTTCCTCACAGGAGATTAAAGGATGACTTTTTTGGGGCACTAGAAGCAGACTTCACCTCTCTGCAGAGGTGGGTGTTTTGCTTGAGCCTGGGTGTTTTGGCTCAATGCTGGCTTTTAGGAGGCAGCCACCTTCAATGTAAATTTAAAAATTAAAACTGTATCAACTCAACATTGCCTAAATGCATACACACACACAAACAGAAAGGACCTTATACAAAAAACTTCAAGTCAGCAATGGGTATTTCCAAAAGGTAACAGATTCTTTAAATAAAAATGTTGTGAAAAATAAAATTCAAAATCTACAAAGCATGAAACAGTAGAAGATAAGATGCTGCTCTGAACAGGACCCTGGATAGGGACCTTCACGGCTGATGGGAAGAGGCAAAAGGACTATGGAAAATCCTGTAGACACTGGAATCGGTGGTGGCTTCGCATGTTCCTGTCAACCCACTGAGTCAGACTGTATCTTTGCAGAGACTTCTGTCGGAACCGGGCATAGTTCCTATCAGGAGAGAGGGAAAGTGAAGAGGACAGATGAGACTTCAGCTGTATTGGCTATTTGCACATAAAAATGGCCAAGGCAACTGTTTAAAGAATATCGTTACTTTTGGAAATTGGACATTAATTTTACTTCAATTCTCTTAATTTTAGAATTTGATACTATTTATATGAAAAGTCACACAATAAGTGCTATTTCCTTCCAACTTGTTTCAAAGCTACCCAATTCCCATACAGGCATTATGGTGATATAGTCCAAATATACAAATGTTCCAAGAAAACTCAATGTATAATGTATAATAATATTTAAGCAGGAAAAAACATGTTATCCTTCTGAAAACATTTAGAGGATCTATATTTCACTGCTTGCATCAGATCTGTACCTCTAGCAGGACCTCACTGTCTGACACAGCTCAAGGTTGCTCAGAACACAGCAGTTAAAATTAGAATAAAATTCCCAGAGAAGGTAAGTCATCACGTGAGTATCACATTGCAACCTTAGAGACTGAACAGACTCAAAGTTTCTTAAGAGTCTCCTTTAGTCATGTGCTGGGCTGAGGTTCTGAACAGGACCCTCTGAGATAATTTCATCCCATTCTCAACTCCAGCTGTTCCAAATAACCACCTGGAAAGCTTTTTTTTTTCTTTCTTTCTTCCCTAAGATATATATTCTTGGCCCCTCTCTCCACCCCTAGACCCTTGGACATCTGTATTTTTAGACATCTTCATAGGTGATTATAGGGAGCAGCCCAGGTTGAAAATAATTTTAAGAGTACTTGACATTTATCTAGTCCTATCTGTAAATCCTTGATGACTTCTTTAAACATCCCACCTCATTCAATGCTAATGACAATCCTACCAGAAGAGTTCTCTCATTAACTCTTTGTATAGGTTAAGAAACTGAGCCTTAGGTAAAATAACTTGCCCAAGGTCATATAATGGAATAGGAGCCTGGATTTGAATTCACATCTGACTCCAGAATTTAATAACCATTACACAACACTGCCTTTCTGAGAACTGCTGTCATTTTGGCAACTACAGAGGAAACACTAAATTTAAAGGCCCTGATTTGGATGTCTGACATATCTGAAAAACAGCAAAGAAGTCAGTGTGACTAGAGCAGAATAAGCAAGGCCAAATAATAGCAGGAGATGAGGTCAGTGAGCTAACCAAGTCAGCCTAGACCAAAGCACATAGGCCCAAATAAGGGATCATGGAGATGGGAAGCCACTGGAAGATTCTGAACAAAGAAGAGAATCTGACTTATACTTTAAAAGAATCCCTTTGGCTGCTGAGTTGAGAACAGTAGACAGGCAAAGGCAGAAGCAGGGAGACCATTTAGGAGACTTGCAACAATCCAGGTGAAAATGATTGAGAAGTGGTCACGTTTGGGATGTATTTTATTTGGATATATTATATGTAGAGCTTATAGGATTTGCTAAAAGGCTGGCTATGGAGTGAGAGAGAAAGGAGCTACAGATGAGTAATTGGATTTCTGAGTAATTGGATCAAAGCAGCTGAGTAAATCTAAAACTACACTGCATCAAAAATCCAGATGTCAGGACTAGAAAAGCCCTTTGACATCAGTTAGTCCAATATCTTAACTTTATTGTTGTGAGGACCAGAGAAGTGGATTGATTAGATCAAAATCATATAGGTAGTTACAAAGTACAAAGCACTTAGAACCCAGGTTTCCTGAATTTCAGTGCAACTCTTATTCCATCATACTATATCAATTCTTTTTCCATTTCCGGAATTAAACAACAATTACAACCCCCAACCCTACCACGTTTCTCCTGCAGCCAAATTCCACCCTTTTCCTCCTTCTTCTAATCACCCACTCACCGCCTGGTGAGGTCCGAAGGATGCTGCCATTTTTGGTTATGCATGTGATGAACTTGATCCATCAAGGCACACAGCTCCCCCAAGGTACCTGTGATACAGAGGGATCAGTGGTTAGGAAGCAGCTCAGCGAACTACCACATCAGCCTGAGTCAAAATGTGTGCTTTCATGGAAAGAGAAAACAGGCACTGGTCGTAATACTGTTTATGATTACCACAAGTAGTCAGCACAAAAACTGTAAGCCAGAGAGGGGAGCTTGCTCTCAGATGGTGATGATGATGAAGGAGCAATAATGACAGCCACTATTCATTCATTCAACATTTATTAGGTCCTACAATGTAAGAGGAACTTTACTGGTCTCTACAATACGGTGCAGATAAGACACCGTACCTGCCCTCAGTGAAGTTTATACAGGAGACAGGCAATCCCAAAAGTTGTGGTAAGGGCAGTGACAGGAGAAATACATGTTGTTATGGTGAGCACAGAGACTGGGAAGTGAGGGTCGGAGAATGCTCCCTCCAGGGGAAGTAAATCATAAGCAGGACTCTAAAGGAGGTATAGAAATTAGTGAGGTGAAGGGGTGGGAAGTGGGGCTGTCCAAGAGAAATAGCTAATACAAAGGTGCAGAGACACAAGACAGCAAAATACATTCAAGAAACAATAGAAGTTGAGAACAGAAGGCAGGTGGGGGCTTTCTGCTTAAGAAAAATCACTGGAGGCAATTTCTCAAATGCCTGGGAGCCTGGCAAGGTGCAAGGCACTTTACATATTATCTTACTAATTCTGAAAAAATATCTTGTATGGAGATACAGTTTATTGACATTGTTTTAGAGACAGGAAACTGTGGCTCAAGGAGGTAAACCTGCCTTCAACACTTATCAAACTGGGTTCAAAACTGGCTCTTGTTTGATTCCATGCTTTTGCTACTATTTGCTTTTTTTTGGCTTCTATTTGCTATTTTGCTTCTAATGATTATTTTGCACTTACAGGCTAAGACTTAGGCTGAAGCTCACAAAAGCAAAAATTATGGTTAGAGAGAATAAAATAATTTCCCTGGACCAGTGGCTCTCAAATTTTAACATGCATCATAATCAGCTGGAGGTATAAAACAGGTTGCTAGGCCCCAACCCCAGTTTCTGATTCTATAGGTGTGGAGTGGGACCTGAGAACTTGCTTTTTTAACAAACGCCCAAGTGATGCTGCTGCTGCTGGTCTGGGAACCACACTCTGAAAACCACTGCCCTAGACAGTGGAGACCTTTCTTTCAGCTGGTTTACATACTTCTCATTACCTCATCTACCCTTAGGAACTAAGAGTCATCTAACTAGGCTACAAGCTATCTTTTCAAGTTCTGGTAAAATACATTTACTTTTAGGACCAATTTAATTTATTTGAAGCCCCAAGAACCCAAAGTTTGTAGGGAAAAAGTATATATTTTGGAGGTAAGGCAGACTTGGGTTAAAATTCCAATCTAGCCGCTAACTAGTTCTGTGACCCTGAGCAAATCATTCCACTTATCTATGACATGGGAATAATAATAATATTTAGGTTGTGGTTGAGTATGAGGAATATAGTACATAAAAGACGTGGTATACTGCCTGGCACACAGGCAGTGTGCAGTAAATGGTAGCTACTGTTATAATAGTGTTACAGCCTCAGGACAATATTAGTTTACAAAGACTTCAAAATCCTGTGTAAATCATTCATCTGTTTGTAAGAAAATAAATGCTTCTTAAATGATCAGTCTACGCAAAAACTATGACATGTTTTATAACACTCAGCAGAAATTCTCTACCCATAATGAGATGACTTTTCAGGCATAAGTTATAGATTTATTATATTAAAAGTTTCTATGCAGTTAAAAGAAAAAAGCACAACCAAGGGCAAAAGACAACTGAGAAAATGAAAAATATATCTGAAACACAGTTGCAAGGGTTTAATGTTCTTATTCTACAAAAATAAGTCTCATCAAACAAATCAAATAAAAGAAGTCAAGGACATGAATAGGTAATTCACAAAAGTAATATAACTAATCAATAAACATAATAAAAAGATGGTCAATCTAATATGGAAATAAAACATATTAATTTTACTTCTTGAGAAGGAAATACAAATCAGAAATTAGTTTTCCCTTAATTTAAGAGGGAAATAGCTTTTGATTAGAAAATCCCTTGCCTGTTTGATTTTAGCTAAAATCGAAGCTCTCTATTCAAACTGTCTCTCCCTTAACCATACTTTCATTCACTCGTGCCCCACTCCCTCTAGCTCCCACAAAAATGGCATCTCAGCTGTGGGGCGGAAATGAGCTTTGTAATAATTTCAAGATACACTTTTCCTGCTAAAGCATCACCAAAGGAGGGCTGGTGAGATATGAAAAGTTCGGCATCCAGTCTCAAAATGGAACAAGATTATCTGCAGACCATGTCCTTCAGCTCATTCATCTCTTACCACCTAGATTCAGTAAAACTATCCTGACAATGGAGACTAAAGATATACTATAAACTTCCTACAAAAAAACCTATTCACTTTAAACCAAAAGAAGAAAAAGACTGATCAATTAGTCCCAAAGAGCCTTCAAGTATTCAACTGCTAGGAGTCATAATCTAGCAGCAGCAACTTACCTATAGTATTTATCATGCATCTATCAGGCACTATCCGATGTGCTTTACATATATTAACTCGTTATACATTCCTTACAACAACCCTATTAGGTATTTCCCGCATTTTATAGATGAAGAAACTGATGCACAGAAAAGTAACTGGCTCAAGGTCACATAGGTAGTGACCAAGCCTAAATTCCAACAATACAATACCATCGTAGGGTTGAGTTTCCTTAAAAATGTTCTAGGACTGATATTTCATTGTAGGGATTAGAAAGCAAGAATCACACTGCAATATCTCTCTTGTATATCCAGTTAGTACCTAGCACAGCGCTGAGTAAACAAAGGATCAATAACTAGGTCTCAGCTAATACACCAAGATGTGTTAGTTTTCATTAGCACGAAGAACTTACTGATGTACCAGGGTAACCTTTATTATTAATAAGGCTTAATGATCTAGAGATAATGGGAGCTAATATTTATTAAGCATTTATTATATGCCAGGCACTTTACTAACTGCTTTGCATGTATCCCATCATTTAATCCTAACAATCACATGAGGCAAATACTATAATCTCCATTTTATACATGAATAAACTGAAGCTTAGAAAAGATACTCATCTATCTATCATCTAGTAAATGGGAAAGCCAGGATTTAAACCCTTGTGGGGCTATTAATCCAAAAACCTTATTTCAGCTCATAGCTTCAATCTCTTCTTCCTCCAAATTTAGAGATGCTAACAAGAATGGAAATATCTGAATTTTCTCTTCTCTTCATAGTTTTAACAGATGGGCTTTCTTGGACCAACAATCAGTACCATGGATTTATTTTAAGTTGTGGCTAAAAGGTGGTGAAGATAGTCCTTTATTTTGTGGCTAGGGATGAGATTAAGAGGAAAAAAAACCCTCAACATTTCAGGAATGAGATCAGTTCATATAAACCATAATCTAGAAATATGTAGCTGACTGATTTGGGAGAAAATCTGGCCTAATAACTCTCCTTAGTAGCTTAAAAGTGAATCAGTTTTTCTAAAGGAGGAGATAATGCTGAGTGCTTGCTATGCCAATGGACCTCTGACAGGTTTTATACATCACTTCACTTTGTACCACATGACCCAAGAAACAGGGAACTCTCCACTGGCTAATGACCTAAGAGCTGGCCTGGCACCAAGAGGTGATTAAGTGAATCAGTCAGATACTCTCCTTTGGAATGTGAATGTGAACTTTAGTAATGAGAACAAGAGAGAGAATCACACACAGAGGCAGGGCTCTAGGAGAGAACGGACACTTGAGATAGCTGACTGAGAGCAGCAGAAGCACTAGTCATAGAGACAGATGACTAGGAGTATCAGAACCACTAACTCAGCTGGGGAAAACCTATTGAACAGGGAACAAAGGCCCCCATTTCTGAGGGGGCCTGGCTCTACGGCTGACTCTTTTTACTGTGAGGCCTAGCTATGCTGCTGAGCCTCCAATCTTCATCTTTTCCTGTAAATCCTTAAACTCAGTTACTTAAAGGCAATCACAATACCTCTATTCAATGCAATCAAAAAATACCTAATACAGGGGAGGAGATGAAGAGAGAAGGAAAGAGAATAATGTGCTACAGGAATAGAGGCTACTGCTTCTACAGACTGATAAAAGTAGGAATAAAAAGGAAGAAAATTAAGTAGAAAGCAAGAATGCAAATGTGTCAACTTTAAGTCAACAAACTGCGATGATCTAGTATAAACCTTGATTAACTTTCTGCGCATACAAGGCAAAAAACAAAAGAAACAAAAATTATTACATAACCCATTTCTGAACTGTTATGTTATGTAGAGGATACTGAGTGATATATGAATGTCCTGAACAGTAATGGCAATTGCAGAATCAGAATTTACACAACCACTGCTGTTCATGATCTTCAGTAAAAAACAAAGCAGAGACTTCCACTTCTAATCATAATGAATGGCTTACCTCCATTGTAAACAACTAGAGACTGGGCAAAAATGTATGAAACAACTGTTTTCAGACTTCTTAGAATTGTGATCCCTAAGGGAAGGGAAACAACTGAGGTAACCCTTGAAACTTGAGTCTATAATTTTTCAAAATTAAAAGTTTTTTTTTTTAATGAAGGCAAAACAAACACTTCGTAAATTAGTAAACAAAAGCATAGAGACTTCACCAGCAGATTTGCGCTGTAAGAAACTAAAAGGAGTTTATGAGGAAAGAAGAAAATATGAGATGAAAAGGAATCAGGAACACTGGAAATGGTAAATATGTGAGTAAATATAAAAGGCCTTTTCTCATTAAAAAAGTCTTTAAAAGATACAATGTATTATAAAAGCAATAATGTATTAAAGACTTTAAAATATATGTATATGTGAAATGTGGGAAAATAAAACAAAAAAATGGCGATTTGGAAGAGCACTGTTGTTAGGGCCTTATGTTTTATGTTAAGTGGTATGTTATTTAAAGATAGACTGATTAAAGTTAAAGATCTATAGA